TCGTTTTGATGTTGGCCGTCTCTCCGTTAGTTACTATAACGGGAACGTGGTATTAATAAGTTATTAGTATAATTTTGGGGTTCGCTAAATTGCATACTATTTTCATATTCTATATCAGTGTGTAATGACCATAATGCCTTAATATATTCTTCCTCTCAATTTCTTGAATTGGGTCAACGATACTTTTAACTCATACTCTGTTTTTATACCCCTCTTACCATATCAAGTTTAAATGTTGGCTAAAGTTTGGTAGTGATTTGTTAAGATTATTTGTTAAGATTTATGAATAGTAAGTTAATATAAATAATACAAATTAAAAAATATAAAAATGCAATGTAGTCGAAGATCGCCTGGTTGATCTTGTCTAAGATTGTTGGTCAACGATCCAATTTCGCAGTTGTAATCTTTATTTTTTAATAGTTTTTAATTTTTTATATTTTGAGTATATTATTTTATGAAATAAAAATATTTGAATTATTCAAAATATATAGAGTTTATTTTCTTTTTTTTTAATTGATAAATAAATATTTTGAAATTATTTTCATTTTTGGCATTATTTTAATTATTTTAGTTTTCTGAAATTAAAGTTAAACTAGTATATTTTGAAAATGTATACTTTTCGTGGAAATAGTGTAAAATTAACAATATTACCCGAGAGGGACGAATAATCTTAAGGTGCACATTATTGTTTTATTTAGTTTACATTAAATTTTATGGATATTATCATAACCAAATATATATATAAGGCCAAACGTATCATAAGATTCAATTAATGATTAGGGTGTAGCGTTTTTGGACTTTTTTTTTTTTTTTTTTTTTTTTTTTGGTTGGATCGTGCATCAAATGAAAAAAGAAGAACATTCCTAGTTCTGCAAATTGTTAGAAGTGGGGGTTGAAAGGATAGTATTTAAAGCTTTAACTTTATAACCTTCAAATGACTGTATTTCTAATATTGATTTATATAATATTATGACTATGAGGTACTAGTGACTCAATATTTTTTCTCCTAAGCTTGCTTCACATCCCCACAATGGGTACTGCTAGGAAAATCACATCCTCGTTGCAAGGATGAGATTATCATAACTTACCGAATAGTCCAAAAAAAATTAGAAAAATATACCTTATAACTAATATTTAATGGAACATCTGAATTATGATATCAAGTAATCAGTGATATATGGACATATGAAACAATGTAAAATCAATTGGAATACAAAATATATACATATACACATGCATTCCTCTTATCACATAGACTAAATTACAAAATATTTGGATTATATAATAATTTTTATACATTTATTACATGAAACAAACCAAATTTACATAAAGGGATTAAAAATTACTCGTTTTGAATAGTTTGCCCAACTTAGGTTTGGATAAAGTTTGTGTTGGGCCTGACCGAACCGAGTTAAAGCCCGATGTGAAATTTTAGAGTAGAGTTATTGGCACCCCACTAATGAATTAAAAAAATCATTCTAATTTCTTAATACACCATTTCAAACTTCAAAGTAAATTAAATATGTTTCTTATTACCCTTCATAAATTCTATAAATGGCCTTTCCATTTTTTTTTTAAATTTTAAAGAGTTAAAATTTTCATTCTTTTCACATATTTTATATCCCCCCACTATCATTATTCCTAACCAAAATTTAGATTATAAATTGAAGGTTCATAAAAAGCTGATTTTTTTTTTTCAAATATTCCCAAGAACATAATAGAGAAAACAACAAAAAATATAAAGTTTAAATAGCTACCAATACTTTGAAAAAAAAAAAAACAATAAATTTATATGTAAATACAAACAATCTCATATTCCAAATCCTTTTTTATATTAATTCTCATACCAAAAAATAAAAATAAAAATAGGGTTTAAAGAAATAGTAGTGTGTAAAAGAATGGTAAAGGAATGAAATAATTAAAGTTATTTTAATAATTTAATATATGATAAATTGCTTATAAAATTCAATAAAAAGTGGGGTTTCTTGAATCCATTAGTGGGGTGCACCAGGTTATTCTATCGATGACTAACGGGGATTATTTTGCTTCGGTTTTGCTCAAATTTCAGAATTGTTGTTGACGAAAGACTTCACATCCAATGACCATTTTCTGATAACCATTTTATTGTGGAGTTTTTCTCAAGAAAGACAGTAAATCAAGAGTTTGAGTTACAGAATTTCAATCCATCTATCCTTGGTTGACGATCAAAAGGTCATCTCTAGTATAATCAACCTGAATTGGTGGACGTTGAGGACATTTGGGAGTTATACGTTGTAGTTCGAATGCTTTGCTGGTGATTTTACTCATCTCTTATAACCTTTTGGTATTTCACTTTGTTAGAGTTGCAATAAATCTCTCAATTTGTTGAAAATTTTGGGGATTGTGGTATTGTGATTACTTATTATTATAGTGAATTAAATGGATCATATATCCCGTGGTTTTTAATCTCTTCACATTGAAGAGGTTTTTTGACGCAAATGCTTGTGCTCCTTGTGAATTTTGATTATTGTTTTCAACATATTTGTCAAGGTTGCTTCTCACATATTCATTCAAGTAGAAAGGTTTGTTAGTGCCTTCTTATCATTCAATATACACTCATTTATTCTATTTGAATACATGAGAGTTTACATAAGATTCAGTATATTTAGTATTATTAATATATATCTGATCCAAAGCCAATTCTTGCTTTGTTTTCTATACTTTCATGTGCAAGTCTGCTTTTAAGGATTATTAATATGTAAAGTTGATTAAGTTTGTAGAGGTTATACAAGAAGTTTTGGAATCCAATTTTGCTCATGAATTAAATCTATGAATTTAAAAAACGTAATTTATATTTCGTGGAGACTTCATGATCGTTTATACCTTTATCTAGGAAGAAAAATATAATAAAACAACTTAAACTAGTACCCTATCAAAGATGTGGGTATTCGGTTAAACCACTGATGTTTTAAGTACCTATTTATGTGTAGGGAATATTACTAAGTTGATTAAACATTCTAATTTGAACACATCAAACATAGTGCGGAAAATAAAGACAAGCCATATATATGGTTCGGACTAAATCTACTTTTAGCCTACATCCATGGGACTTGTCTAGATCGAAGCAATCTACTAAGTAAAAACACATTACAAGATATAGTTCAAAGCTGATCTAAGTTACAGTAAAAAGAACTCTTCTGTTCAACTTTACACTTAACACCACATTCTGAAGTTAACATGTAGCAACTCTTCGGATCTACTTCAAGCTAGGAACCCACCTGTGAACAGCTTGTAACACCACAAGTTAATTGCTGAAACAACGCACCAACATCAGTAAGGAACCACGTTCAAGAGCCATCAAGTCAATGTTGAATGGTGAGGTTTTGGCACTAATGGAGAAAGAACCTTGAAACTTTAAGAGAAATAATACCCAAGAAATTTAGAGTCGGAATGAAAAAAAAACCAATGTTCAAAAAGGTTAGGTTCATTAGGCAAGAAGAAGATATATATAATGAAGAGTTTCTTGCTCAGCAATGAAGTGTCACAGCAGCCAACAAGGAGTTGACCCATGTTTGTCCAAATAAGAAAATATTCATTTTTTTGGTTTGGACCACAAAGCAAATCAGAAAGTTATTCATTCTTAGGACCACCCAATAGCGGATCCAGAATTTATGCTAGGGTGGCCAAGAAAAGTAATTATACATAATACTTTCGTCCATTAATATTTTTGTTAGGGTGGGCAAAATATATAAATTATACATATTAATATTAAAAATAAAAATAAGTGCACCCAAAAAGTGGCTGGATCTGCCCCTAGGACCACCAAGCATTTGTGAAATATGTAAAGAGGTTCTAAAAGTAAGAGACAAAGATAAAAATATCTTTCCAATTTTATCAGACATGTAACTTATGTTGAGTTTCAAAAAATCTGAAACGAGAGTGTAAACAAGCCGTTGTGCACACACATGTGAAACGAAACAAGCCAAGAAGAGTCTAGCAAAAGTATACCTGAGAACTGGCGTGCACACACATAAAATATGAAACAAGTCAAATAAGAGAATTGATAGTCGTGACACAAAACTTTGGATACACACATAATTTATAAGTTTGACAAAAATAATATCTACAAAAGACAGAAATTTGTTGATTAGATAGAAATTTCAGGAGTTAATGGAAGAGTAGAAAATTCTAAAAGGCAGGCTTTGTGACGTTTATTCAAGAACTTGCATTAGACGATAGTCCAGTCAGCAGTCCTTGTTCATTGAATATGGATAAGATGTTGAGACACTTTTCACTCATTAACTCTACTAGTATTATTAAGTAATTAATATTGCTTTAGTCCACAGGTTATTCATCTAAAGACGAGAAGCCGTTAGTTATTTTTTTTTTTTTTACCACCTTAGCAACGTCTCAACCATGATTGCAAAAATCAACGGCTGAAAATTTATTAAAAATTGAAGTCAAACTTGTAAATTGATATAGATTGACCCTTCATAATTAAGTCCAATAGACTTGATTAATTTGTTTGTTGGATTCTATTGTTAAATGAATTTACATATATGTAATACAATCATGTTGGTATTGATGAACTGTTTTTCTACAAATTTAATTGAACTCTCTCTTGCGATGCTTTCTTGTGGTGCTTAGCCTTAGCGAAATTTTATGGCTTGACGATGCCATTACTTGTTTAGCGTAATGTACTCGAGAAAAGTTAAAAACATAAAAATTTCATGCGTTCAATATATTTAAAAGTCGAACTTAGTTAGTTGGCAATAACAAAATTAAAAGAAAATTTTATATAGTTTAAGCATAATAGTTTTGGTTAAATTTTTCTTTAGTATTAGATGCGGTCACCTCATATCATAAGTAATATATTGAAATTATGCAGAACACTCCTTAATTTATAATAATACTATTGAAAAAACAAGAAAAAAAAATTAAAGAACTATATCATACTAACGAAACTTTAGAAGAATCAAACTTAAATACCGTTTATTTCATTATTTGTTCGAGTTCATAAAACTCCAACAGATACGTACTCAAATAAGTTGTTTTATAAAACAACTCTTTATGAAACAAGTACTTGTTTCATCACCAACTTATAATAATTAACTATAAAAGTTCTGAAATTAAGCATCTCTAGCATGACAGATTCTGGCCAGGATCACACACGAACTTCTTGCAATAATCTCTGTAATATCCGATACGAGCGTTAACCTTATCAGGTTGCTTGCCACCGCATTCAAGAGCGCCGTTAATTTTCTGAGTAGCTCCAAAGCCCTGGTTCATAACTGAGTGAACGTTGTTCATCCAGAACCACAAGGCAGCTTGAAGGAGACAGCAGGGTCATTGGACACTGTTTCGGAGCTTTGAGTCCATCGAATCCGACAGCTTTTCCGCAAGCTCCGAGTTTGAGTTCCAGGTGAGCTGCATTGGTCCACGGCCGTAGTATTTCTTTCCGGCGACACATGGATACTGTTTGTTGATGGTCACAGTAGGCATTTGAATTGTCAATTTCTTCAGTGTAGCATAAGTCTGCAAAATTAATGGAGTGAAGTCATAAATTTATTGTCGTTTAGAAAACTCATATAATCAGCTGTTTTGGATCAAATCTTGCTCGCACCAAGTTGGACGATTTGCTCATGTGATAGTGTCTTTCATGGAAAAAGGAAGAGAATAGCAACCAATTAAAAGAGAGAAACAAAACTTACGTCCAGTTTCATGAGTAACATGAGCAAAAAATGCAATCTCACGCTTGGATTCAACAGCGGAGCCTGATCCAAATTTAGGAAACGAACTGGCAGCCTTAAGAAATCCATCTCTTGTGTAGAAGCTCTTTCCAGCACAGCTTGCAGCAGCTTGATTCTTTATCCCATCAAAAAATCCCGGTGTAACAATACTAGCTACATTTTGAGACATCACATTTTGGGGAATAATGGCAAGGCAAATATTCCCATAGAGCAAATGTGAGTAAATCTTTTCTCATGTTGAGATCCATCAGTTTTGAGAGAGGTTATTTGAGTGATTAATGAGAAAGAGAGAAGGGATTTTGATGTGTGAAATTTAGTGGGAGGCCATAGCTATTTATAGATTGTTGAGGGTTACGGGTCAAAAATGGCGTTGGACTTGTCAAAGAAAACATTAAGATTAGGGACGTGTTGGTTATTGATGTTGAAGTACAAACACCGCAGATTGAGCAGATTATGAAGACTTAACCTTTACTCTGCTCACAACTGTCAATTTTTGTCTTAGTTCAGCAAATTGTGAAGCAGACAATGCTTTAGTTAAGACATCAGCTATTTGAAGTTTAGAGAGAACATATTGAATGACAACCTTATTGGCTAGTACTTGCTCTCAGATATAATGGACATCTATTTCGATGTATCTAGTTCATGCATGAAACACCGGATTAGAAGCCAAAACTGTTGCACTAATATTATCACACCAAATCACAGGTTTGGTTTGGACAGGAACTCCCAACTCAGTAAACATATTTTGTAACCAGGCCACTTCTGTGGCAGTTTGTGCTAAAGCCCTATACTCAGCTTCGGTGGATGATAAAGCCACAACCCTTTATTTTCTTGAGCTCCATTGGATCAGATTAAGGCTCATATATACACAATATCCACAAGTTGATCTATTCTCTAAATTGCTACCCCAATCGGCGTCAGCATAGCATTCAACAGTGAGAGGATGCTCTGATTGAAAATGCAATCCATAATCAAGTGTCCCTTTAACATATCGAAGAATTCTCTTACGTGCTTGTCACTGAAGATTAGTTAGGGCAAATAGAAACTGACTTAGTTTATTAACATGAGAGCTAAGATCAGTCTTCTAAGAGTAAGATATTTAAGGGCCCCTATAGTGCTCCTGTACAGACTAGAGTGCTCAAACAAATTACTGTCGGCTGAGAATAACTTTGTCCCTACAGCCATGGGAGTGGAGCAAGCATGAGCATCATTCATTATTGTCTTAATTAGGAGATCAGAGGCATATTTGGTTTGCTTCAAGTGACTACCACTACAGATCCTTGTAGCCTCCAAACCAAGAAAATAATGCAAAGATCCAAGAGCCTTATGAGCAAATTGATCATTTAAACTTTGCATGAGTTGAGTAATAAAGGCTGAACTAGAACCTGTGAGAAGAATACCATCAACATACACTAATACATAGATAAGTAAAGATCATTGCTTAAGAGTGAATAAACTGAAATATGAAACAGAATTCAGAAAACCCTGTGTGAGTAAGGCTGATTTTAACTTGTCAAACCAAGCTCTTGGAGCTTGTTTGAGTCCATAGAGGGCTTTGTTCAGTTTGAACACATAGGAGGGTTGAGTTGAGTCCTCAAAACCGACATGTTAGTTCATGTAAACCTCTTCATTCAAAGTGTCATTCAAAAAGACATTATTAACATCAACTTGCTGCATATCCCAACCATGTGTAACAGCCAAGGTAAGGATGATTCTAATGGTGGAAGGTTTGACTACAGGACTAAAGGTCTCAAAGTAGTCAAGTCTAGGAGTTTATTGAGAATCCTTTGCCACTAACCTAGCTTTATGCTTCTGCAGTGAATCATCAGCATCGAATTTTGTCCTAAAAACCCACTTGTTCCCTACCATATTCACATCAGAAGAAAGGGGAACTAATGTCCAGGTTTGATTGTGCACCAGAGCATCAAATTCAAATTGAATTGCCACCTTCCATTTAGGATTAGCTAAAGCCTCAAACACTGTGGTAGGTTCTGGTTCAATAACATTCTGTTATGTAAGAAGAATAGTGGAAGGATGGACTTCAATAATGGAAGGAAAGGATACAGCAGCTGCTTTGGCTCTTATCCCCATAGGGTGGGTATTAGCAACGACTGGTTATAGGGGAATATTAGAAACAGATGGCTGAGGTGGCTGGGTAGGCTGTGGAGCTTCAGAGAATTTGGTAATGTAAGATCAGCCTCAAGTAAGTAAGGTGGTAATACTGATGTTGATGGTAGGACAGGGAGAGAAGAAATGTCAAGGGATGCCTTTTCTAAAGGTTCAGTAGTGGGAAAGTGTAGAGAATTAGGATTGAAAGAGGTATTGGGAGAAGATGTGTGGGATTTTCTAAGGCTGGTAGAGCTAATATCTGGTGTAAGGGTGATGTGAATAGAACATAAATGGTCTGGTGCTCAAGTGTTGTTAATAGACTATTGTAATAAGCTTGGCACTACAGAGGGAATATGAGCCTGACCTGTTGAAGTGGTAGAATGAGAAGAAAGAAGAAAAGGAAATGATTTTCTATGGTCAGAAGAAAAAGTGGACTTGGAAGAGGACTGAGGAATAGTAGTGGAGGAAGTACTACCTTGTGAAAAAGGAAATTCAGACTCATTGAATTTGACACATGGAGTAATAATGACTTTCCTATCTTGTTTCAAACATTTATATCCCTTATGAACCAAAGTATAGCCTACAAACACACATTTTGTAGAGTGAAACTGAAATTTGTGTTTATTAAAAGGTAGAGGTGAGCCCGGTTTCGGATACCCTCCATTTTTCGAGGGAACCGGAACCGCACAGTATAGGTTCCCAAAAAAAGGAACCAGAATCGCACAGTGCAGGTTCTTCAATTAAAAGAACCGGAACCTAAAATGCAAGTTCCAATTCCTTTCCGGGGTACCTATAAAAAATCAATTACCCCCTATTAGTTTAAAAAAATGACAAAAATACCTTAAAAGTTTACAAATACACCCCTAAAAATATACTATTTGGGTTTAGGGTTTAATTATAATGTAATATTATAATTAATTAAATTGTTAATCATTTAATTAAGCATTGTAATATTGTTTATAATAGAATGTTATAATTAATTAAGTAATTAATCATACTATAAATTTATAATGTTTCTAAATATGCTATTGAAAAAAAAGAAAAAAAAAAATTAAAGAACTATATCATACTAACGAAACATTTAGAATAATCAAACTTTAAATATCTGTTATTTCATTATTTCGTTCGAGTTCTATAAACTCAACAGATACGTACTTAAATAAGTTGTTTTTAAAACAACTCTTTATGAAACAAGTACTTGTTTCATACCAAACTTATAATAATTAACTATAAAAGTTCTGAAATAAGCATCTAGCATGAAAGATCGGCCAGGATCAACACCGAACTTGTTGCAATAATCTCTGTAATATCCGATACGAGCGTTAAACTTATCAGGATGCTTGCCACGCATTCAAGACCATTAATTTCCGAATTGTAGCTCCAAAGCCCTGGTTCATAACTGAGTGGACGGGTTCATCCAGAACCACAAGGCAGTTGAAGGAGACAGCAGGGTCATTGGACACTGTTTCCGGAGCTTTGAGTCCATCGATCCGAGAGTTTTTCCGCAAGCTCCGTGTGTAGTTCCAGGTGAGCTGCATTGGTCCACGGCCGTAGTATTTCTTTCCGGCGACCATGGATACTGTTGTTTGATTGGTCACAGTAGGCATTTGACTTGTCAATTTCTTCAGTGTAGCAAGTCTGCAAAAATTAATGGAGAATGAAGTCATATAATTTATTGTCGTTTAGAAAACTCACATAAATCAGCTGGTTCTCGGATCAAATCTTGCTCGACCAAGTTGGAGGGTTTGCTCATGTGATAGTGTCTTTCATGGAAAAAGGAAGAGAATAGCAACCAATTAAAAGAGAAACAAAACTTACGCCCAGTTTCATGAGTAACATGAGCAAAAAATGCAGCAATCTCACGCTTGATTCAACAGCGGAGCCTGATCAAAATTAGGAAACGAAGGCAGCCTTAAGAAATCCATCTTGTGTAGAAGCTCTTTCCAGCACAGCCTGCAGCAGCTTGATTCTTTATCCATCAAAAAATCCAGGTGTAACAATACTAGCTACATTTTGAGATATCACATTTTGGGGAATAATGGCCAAGGCAATATTCCCAGTAGAGCAAATGTGAGTAAATCTTTCTCATGTTGAGAGCCATTTTTTGAGAGAGGTTGTTTGAGTGATAAGGGATTTTTGATGTGTGAAAATTTAGTGGAGAGGGCATAGCTATTTTAGATTGTTGAGGGAGTTTACGGGTCAAAAATGGCGTTGGACTTGTCAAGAAAACTTAAAGTCTCGATTAGTGGCGTAAAATTGTTGCACAGGCAACAGATATCTTAAAAGATATGCTCCACTTGCACATATATGAGTTTGTAAATATAAAAAAATATGAATGCAATACAATTTATGTTTATAACTCATTGATTTATATATCAGGATCTTATGTATTTATGAACATTTTTAAAATGATTTTTTCTATGAGTAAACGAGATGTTCACATTGAAGGTTTAGCGAAATCTCAGGTTACCACCCTTGGTTTTATAATTCCAGATTCTCACCCTTAAATTAACAGAAAAACGTTTAACGTAATGGTAAAGGGTAAAATGTCATTTACCCACAATAAATTTGAAATAAAATAAAAAATTTTAAAACAACCCTCCTATCTCAAATTTCTCTCACACAAGCACCTTTCTAACATTTCTTCATGCGGCCAGGTTTGGCCTTTGCATGGGCCAAAAAGCAATGGCCAAATGGCTGCTTCTTGGGCCTCATGTGGCGACCTCTAACATTTCTCTCACGGCGGCCAAGTTTGGCCTTTGCATGGGCAAAAAGCAACAGCCAAATGGTTGCTTCTTGGCCTCACATGGCAGATTTTGGCTATCATGTGACGGGCCTCGTGGCGACTAGGAATTAAAGCGCACACGTGATAGGCTGTGTGCGCTGGAGTAGCGCATAGGGGGTCAAAATGACAAATAACGAATGAGAGATGAATTTGAGAGAGTATTTTAGAGATGTACTGTAGAATCTTCTTTCATTAGTCAAATGGGTACAGTCAAAGCTCTATTTGTATGAACAAAAGGAAAGGAAAGTGATTTATGGAAAATGACAGTATGACCAACAAAGTCAAATTACAGTTGTGCCTTTTGGCACATTAGTTAGCATTCCCCCTCAAACCAAGCTCCAGAAGGGTGTGAGAGGGAATTCGAACAAGTCTGAGATGAGGCACAAAAAAGGTGCTTTGGG